AGTCATTTAATGTCTGCTTCTCCCTCTTAATTGCCATTCTTGACTTCTCCCATTCCCTTCCTCTGTATTTCTAGCACCTAACAGTGCCTTGCACAAAACAGATGTTCACAGTCTACTTGTTGAATGTCTAAATAGAAGGCACGATTAACTTAGAATTAATAAGGGAGAGTGTGAATTGTCAACAGTCCTGGACAACAACAGCTCTAGGAATAGAAGTATTCAAGGAGGGATCCATGAACCATAGTTTTGTGGGCTCAGGACTTTACGGGTCTTGGAGAAGGCGTGTATTCAAGCTTAATAGGGAGGTAAAAAGCAGATTTTCCATTACTCCCCTCAGGCCACTCCTTGGGCCAGAGTAGAGGGAAAAATATAACTACATGGGAGAATAGGGGCCCAGATCTCCAGTATTAACTGGCAACACAGTGGGCGGTGGCCCACCATGGAAGAGAAGCCACAATTGAGAACAAGGCAAAGCAGAGGCTAGCAGGCAAACACACGTCCTCAGTACACTTGGAGGAAGGAATTTGAAAATAGTTGAAAGGGAAAGCTAGGAATGGCTGGAGACATACTTATTTTTATCTCCCTCAGAATCAGTCTCTGTCAAAAACAGAAAAAAAATTTCACGAAGACAGCAAGGGGGAGCAGAACTGCTTTGCATTTAGATTATTCTTTTTCTAATGAGTCCAAAATAAGCTAGAACCTCATTGAAGTCGAATTGGGAGGAAGATCAATCTAAGTTCAGCTAAGGCTCATTTTCAGAATACTTCTAAAGAAATTTAGTTTTATTCCTTTTGGGGACATAGAAGCGCTATTTTCTTTTGGAAAATTTCTTCTCTTGGGTATTCTAAGCATACTCCTGCTAACTGTCTTTAGCTCTTCATTTGCAAATTTCCCAAAAGAAAACCTTTCCGAAGAGTGTTTTCAACCCAGTTTCCAGTTATCTAAATTACATGGTATAAAGCAGAGTCTGAATAAGCATAATACAATTGACTGTGGTTTTCACCAAATCTTTCTTAACTGACAATCATTGCCATATTATTCCATAAAATATTTGGAATTTATTACAATGCTGATCTCCCACATGAAAGTAAGATGTTAGAGAAGAGTCTTTTCATAATCTAGGGTCATGGGATGCAGTCCCCTCTTCTAGCCCCACTTTGTTACACTGCTGACTAGGCAGGTCATCGAGTCCAACCCTTCACTCATTTAGGGTGATTTATACCTCGCCTTTTTCTGTTGCACAATCAGTTCTGCTTAGAAAATAGTAAAACATTTTCCCCCTTTATCAAATTATTTTATAGTCAACTTTTTTTCAAAGGCTCTCAATGCTGGTCCATGGTTCCAACTTCACTTCCATAAATCACTGGAACACATATGTAAATTTAGCATACATGCAAGTGTAGAATTCCTAGTAACCATCATCGGATATAGATAGGAGTAAACAAACCTTCACATCCATAATGTTGGTTTTTCTCTAGGTTATTTATAAGTAATGGTCTTAGGCGGTAGTCCATCTAAATTCCCAGGTCACGTGCTCATTAACTGTTGAATGAATATAATCTTGGTAGAGGGGGAATTGTATCTAAAGTCTCATCAATTGATCAAATCCTGGAATGAATGAAATGTTAACCTCCCAGAGATAAGGTTTAGTTAACTTTAAGCTCTATAGAGTATGGCATGCCTTATGTACACAACATGAATTTTTTAGTGGTGATAATAGTTACAATAATAAAATTATCTACTTGGTCCATAACCCCATTTTATAAACCACAGCGACTCTTTGCCAAATTCTAATTAAGCAGAATAGTCAGCTGGCTCTCCTTTGTGTGTGGCCTGCAATCTGCTCTTGCTCACATAACCAGAGGTGGTGCCTATAGAAATCATGTTATCAATTAGGCATGTGCTTTAAGATTACAACATGGCTGCCATTCAGACACATCCAAAATGATCATTATTCTGAGTCCTTAATTACAGTTTGACAAACTAAATTATCCAGAACTGTGAAAGGTCTTGGAATGTTGAATGTAAACTCAATCTATGGTTTTAATCTGTGCCTCATTTTCCCCATCTGTAAAACAAGGCTAATAATAGTTCCTACTTTATAGAGTTGTCATGAGGATTAAGAGTTAAGATATGTAAAGCACTGGGACAGTGCACAGCACATAGTAGGCACTACGTAATGTTTGCAGTTATCCTAAGAGTTCCTAGGAAAATGACTAATCCTCTAAAAGAAGGCCTCATTTCCTGAAAAATGTGATCTTTGGGAAGCACAATCTTTCCTAGCTCCAATCCCAACAAGTTTTCTTTTTCCAGTTACAAATTTGTATAGTGTTTTCCTTTGATAACTACACTATGGATTGAGTCAGTAAAGTCTTTAAAGCAGTAGTTCCTAACTTTTTGGAGTCAGGGAAGACTTTGAGAATCTGATGAAACTCCAGACGCTCTCCCGAGAAAAACTGTACATGTTGAAGTTCGCATTCAATTTCAGAGGGTCCGTAATTCCCTCCGAGGTCATTCACGGACCCCAGATTAAGAATCAGTGTTTGAAAGCATGACTTGGAAGATAGCCACATTTGGATCTTGTTCTTTTAACAATGTCTAAAGCAAGAGAAGACAGAAACACACATTTGTACATTGTAAAGGAAGCATGCATTACTTTGGCCAGCTAAGTACTTTCCAATAAAGGGTTTTGATGAAGATGGAGATGATGATGAAGTGGAGGACAAGAGGAGGAGGAGGAGTCATCCTCCAAAATGGATAAAGGTAGATAGACTAAAAGTATACTTTTACCTTTGGCTGAGCTGACTATGCAGCAGAGCTTGGAAACTGGGCAGTCCTGTGGGGCTGTTATTATTAGGACCTCTGGAGGCAGTTTGAGTAACTGATTGTATCCAAAGCTTTCTTTGAAGCCTCAAAGAGGTAAAATATTTTCACTGGGTCTTTTCACGCCCATTCAATGATTCAGACACAAAAGAAATGCTAATTATGGGAACTGAGCTGTGAATTCTGAGTGACCCCGGGGGACAAAATGATTATCTGGTGGTCTTATGTTGCTGGAAATTTATTAGAGGGTTTTAAGATTACGTTAACTGATTTTCACCTTAAGTGCTCCACCTGGGGAAGCATTAAAGGCTCCTGAGAAGGAATGATTTCCAAGAAGTAATGGCATCTGCGACAAGATCTTTCGGGTGAGTCAGGGGTACTCTGAGGAGAAAAGCCTGAGTGAGGCGGCTGTGTCCAGCTGGGGTGGTGTGATGGGCTTGCCACAACCAAAAGCTGCCACTTTGATTAGGTCCTTACTGATCTCCTGCTTCCAATAGTACAAATGCCAGAGACCCAGAGAAAGAATAATATATTTACAACAGAGGTCATAGAATGAGACCAAGGACCCACTTACACTTCTGCCCCATTATGGTCTCATATTGCACCCCTGGCTCTAAAAGCCAAACACCTTCTCAGGGTCTGCAAATATTGACAAGCTCTTACCCCTGCTGACCTCTGCACTCTTGTCCTTTATCATCTCCCCCTCCCTCCTGCCCTCTGCCCCAGTCCCCAAGGCCATCTCTCTGTTCTTGGATCATCTCAAGCTCTTCCCTGGCTCAAGGCCTCTGTATTCATTGTCCCCTCTGCCAGGAACATTCCCTCTCTAGGTATCTGCATGGCTGACTCATTCTTAACGTTTTGGTCTTAGCCCATTAGCAAGCTTCTGTCCCCTGCCTTGTCACTTTCTTTTATATCATCCTAGTTTCTTTAGAGCACTTACCACTATCTGAAAATAATCTGTTGACTTGTTTTCTTTATATTGTCTATCTTCCCCATTAGAAAGTGAGCTCCATGACAGCGGGGGACCTATGTCTTGATCACTGTTGGAGCCCCCAGGCTTAGCACAGAGAAAGCACTAGATAAACATTTGTTGGCTAAAGGAATGAACCATCATCCTAATAGTTACCATTTATTGAGCACTTACTCCATGCCAGGCACAGGGCTGTAGGTTTTTTACAAATACTGTCTCAGAGTTTTCACAGCAACCCTCCAAGTGAGGTATTTATCTATTATCCCCATGGTCCAAAGTAGGTTTCAGAGAGGTTATGCAGCTTTTCCAACATCAAAGCTAGCAAGTAATGGAGACCTGATTTGTACCTAGGCATGTTTGACTCCCACACTCACACTAAATCCACAGTCAGCACACTTTTTCCATGAAGGACCAGATAGTAAATATTTAAGCCTTTGCAGGCCATATGGTCTCTGTGGCAACTACTCATCATTGTAGTAGTTTGAAAGTGGCCCTAGATAATACATAAACAAATGGATGAGGCAGTGTGCCCATAAAACTTTATTTACAAAACAAGTCTTAGGCAGGATTTGGCTCAGGGGCCATAATTTGCAGATCCCTCCTTTAAATCATCATTCCATATATGCTATGCTAGAAGGAGGTTAAAAAATGAGGGAGGGAGTAAAAGAAAAGCATTAAAATGTGTGCTTGTGCATGGTGAGCTCTGTTTGAATAAGACAGCAGGTGGATAAACAGTTGTTAAAAGGAAAATAGGCAATAGGAAAATAGGCAAATTGACTGAATTACAACCATCACTTAAGACTACAGTCGAGTTTAATTCGAATAATTTATTCCATTTAACCAAAGTTCGATTCGTATTGTAATTATACACTGTTTCACCTGCCAACACCTGAACAGACCCACATAAACTTCCATCCCAAGCAGGCCCCAACTAATCTAAGGACAAAGCGTACTGAGTCACTCTGACTGTTAAAATTCTTCCTCTTTCAACTGTTGAGCCTGAAAACTTTAGTCTTTCCTTCTCCAGCAAACATATGAGTTCTTGGCAAGAGGTGAAAGACAAGATATGAATCTCAGGTCTGAGCCAGCCCAGAGAAGTCTCTCGCAGCCTCCCTGGGAAGATGAACATTATTTGTGCTCAGCCGTTCAGTCATTCCGTGTGGCTCTTGGGACTGAGTATCAGCACTAAAACAAACGACCAACTCACCAGTCCCCGGGGTCTGGGCGGGGAGGCAAGGACTGAACTTTGAGCAGGTGGGAGATGGAGGGACAAAGGCGCTGGCTTCTGTAGTGCTTGTCTGTGCATGAGCGGCAGGCTGGTGTGGGCCAGAGCCCAGCGGGGAGGCCTCCTCTAGGCACTCGGCAGCCCTAGGTCATCAGAAACACATTAGACAAAATATTCATTTCTCTGGTACCCTGGAGAAAGAATCCCTCTGGAAACAGCCTCCAGGAAAGATTCCCTTTGTAAACAGCAAGAGGTTCTTAAACCGATAGACTCATTTTCCTCAACTTGTATGCAATTTTCTAAACAAGGGCTTTCAATGTTTAAGCAGGTGACAAAGATTCAAACTTTTGTCAGGCTCCTGAACTTTCCCCTCGGCCGATCTGTGCACTTCCTTGTAAAATCCAGTTTGAGCAAGAACTCTGCTAAATCAGTTTAACTGCACCCCCACCTTCCATATCTGATTGGGTCCCTCATCCTCCACCCATCTCCCAGGTGACATCTGACGACCCTAGTCCGTCTTCAGCAAAGAATCTTGTTAAGTCAGCTTAGCCAGAATCTCCCTTACTCCTGATGTTTCCTCTTAGTAATCTTCCATCATCCACTGACCCCCCCCCCCCCCCCCCCTCCCTGGATAGAAATTCCCACTCGCCCACGCTGTATTCGGAGTTGAGCCCAATCTCTCTCCTCCACTGCAAAACCACATTGCAATGGTCCCTATTGCTATCACAGTGGTCCTGAATAAAGTCTGCCTTACCCTGTTTAACGAGTGTTGTTGAATATTTTTTTCCTCTAACACAGGAAAGCATCCCAGCGTGGTAGAAGCAACATCTGAAGGGGAATCTAGAGATGCCAGATCTATCCCAGCTCAGCCATTCACCAGCAATGAGGTCTTGGGCACCCCTTCCCATCGAGTCCCCTTCCTGAGCCTGTTTTCTTATCAATAACAGGATGAGTCAATCTCATACTTTTCATCCACCCCAATGTCCATCTTTTTGTTGTCTGTTTAATATCTGTTTATTTATTATTGTTTATAGTTTCTATTAAAGATGATTCATATTATTAATAAAAGTGAGTTCTGGGGCCAACCCCATGGCCTAATGGTTAAGTTCAGCGCAATCTACTTCGGCAGCCTGGTTCATGGGCTGGGATCCTGGGCATGGACCTACACCACTCATCAGCCATGCTGTGGCAGCTACCCACATATAAAGTAGAGGAAGATTGGCACAGATGTTAGCTCAGGGCTAACCTTCCTCAGCAAAAAAAAAAAAAAAAAAAGTCCCTATTGAGCACTTTGTATTTACCAGGATTGTGCCATATGCTTTCCATGCATTCTATTACTTAATTCTCACCAACCTCCCTATGAGAAGGGAGCCTTATGATCACAGACTTCATAGATATGACAACTGAGGTTCAGGGAGGTGACATAATTTCCCAAGGCCAAACAGAGGGTAGGAGGGTAAGTGGCAAAGCTGGGATTTGAGCCTGAAGCTACTTTTTTTTTTCAAGAACTGCGCTGTCTTCATGTGCCCTATAGCCCCTGGTCAGGGTCTGACTTGAGAGGAAAATGCAGATTCAAACTCCCTTGCCCTGAATTCCTTATTACAGCACCGTGGTGCCACTCGCCAAGTCAGGCTACTAAATACCAAGATGTCTTCCCTGAAGGAGATGGTGCAGGAGCTGCCTTGCATGTCCAGTGTGCAGTCTTTGCCCTTGAGACACTTAGGACCCTGGAGAGCTGATAAAACTCATGGCCCAATCAGGAGGACCAGTGCTGATAACTCACATAGCAGGAATTCCCTTGTCCTCCATCCGTTATTGTCATATCCATGCACAAGGAAACTTGAAAAAATGGTGTCTGCAAATCTCTGGTCACTGAAGAATCTTTTTCTTTCCTAGCGAGAGGCAACCCATTCAAGGATGCACCAAGTCAACAATCTGGTGATACAAGAGGTCTGAAGGTTCTCCTTGAAACAAACAATTGGAGATTTTTAAGAGGACATATCAGTGCTGGCCTGACCAGGGAGGAGAGTGGGGACACATGGTGGGAGAAGGGTAGACTCCTGGAGATAGCAGGGCAAGGCATAAAGTTAATGGTTTGTGCATATCTGATACTCTCCCGGGTTGGAAGAGAAAAAGGGAGGGAGTTTAACTATTGAATGTCTACTAGGGTGTGGGTGCTTTTATATACAATGAGCATTAGGTCTTGACAAGATGTAAAGTTGATGTTTTACAGACGAGGCTAGTAAGAATCTAAACAGGGATTCCATTTCTTTTTTCCACTCTACTTCAATGCCTATGTAGACACCATCCTACTTCTAATTCAGATTTTCATGAAGTAGATGACACTTTCTCAAAAGAATATCTGTAAAAAATATTTAGGCTGCAAAACCTAATATAGTGCCTAGCATATAGTAGGAACTCAAATAAAACAGGATGAATTAACAACTCTGAATGTGGTTTCTCAAACTGAGGTAAATATCGTTTGATCCAGTAGTTCTCAACTAAGAGTGATTTTGCCCCCTGGAAGACATTTGGAAATGTCTGGAGATATTTTTGGTTGTCAAAAAAGAAGGGAGAAATACTACTGGCATCTAGTGGGTAGAGACCAGGATGTTGCTAAACATCCTACAATGCACAGGACAACCCCACCACAAAAAAATATTATCTGACCCTTAATGTCAATAGTGCCAAGGTTGAGAAATTCTGATCCAATCCAACATGTTTTACAGCTGAAGAAACCATGACCCAGTGAGAGTGAGAGACTTGGCCAGGGTCATATAACCAGTTGATGGCAAAGCTGTGATGAGAAATATCCCCTGAAGCCTCCTACAATGTTCTTGCCAGACCTCCAGCTGCTAACCAGCCAGAGGGCTGTCTGCTATGAGAGGTATGGGTTCATTGGGAAAGACTGTGTTGGCCCAATAGCCCAGGCAAGCCAAACATAGTTATGTAAGTTCAAGTGGACCAAGCCAGTTGCTCCTCAGTCTGAATCATCCCCTGAATAAGCAGCCAGGGAAGGTTCCAGAGAACAAAGAGACTCAGACTTGGAACACAGAGTGCTCCCTTGGAGGCCTTTGCTGCCCACCAGCTTCACACTCCCACTCCTTCATTTTCTTAGGGTTGCAAACCAAAATGCAATTATCAAGTCAAAGAAAGAATTTTCTTTTAATAATTAAATAGGCAAGTTAAAAATATTAATGATTAAGTGGTCATATTGGGTCAAGGTAGAAATCAACAGAAATTTATTCTCTTCAAAACATATTAGTCATTTGCATTATCATTGTCACCAATGACAACTTTTTGGCCTCCTATGTGCCAAGAGATGTGTTGGGTCTCAGGGGAGAGATGGGAAGGAGGAGAAGAGTGTGTCCACCAATGTCATGCACAAGGCATATCCTTGATCTCAATAAACACTCAGTCCAAACAGAGTCTCCTTTGCAATTGCCATCATAGAGCAAGGCCAACACTGCAAAATGGATAAAACAAAGCTCTCCTTACAGCTAAATATCTAAGCCTAGCGTGACTCACTATTTTAAACAACTTTTAACACAGAAACGTTCAACTACAGACCAAGAACTTGGACTTTACCATTTACATTTTGGGACTTAGTTTGCCTGATGGACATTTTCTTCTATCCATCAAACTACATGGGGGACTTCCAATGCTCTGGACCATATCTAAAATGACGGGATAACCAGATGCAGTATGGGACTTCATTCAACCAGAGTAGATCCTTTAACCCCAAAATCCCCTAACTTAAGTGGATGAAGAGCCCCTAAAAGGTTACCCCAAACCAGGGTACTGGCATATTTTCTAGCAGGCTCTAAACTGGATCTCAGCGGAAGCTGGAGATCTGGGTTAACACAACACTGAAGATCAACTTTTATCTTGAAATTTCAATGAAAAATTAAACATCTTGATAACACTGAGTACTAAGGGCTTTTATTTCCATTGCAACTGCTTTTTGAGATGGATAATTCCCCTTTAGATTTTCATGAGTTTGGCCCAGAAACTGGATACTCAAGGCATTAAACATACAGGAGCCTGGGACGCCAAGAAAACAGTAGTGTCTACTTAACGGTTTGGCTGCCACAGCCAGCTAAGTGTCTTGGGGAAGTGAGTAGAATTTGAATACATCAGCTCTGCCACTCTGCTCCAGACTGGGAAATCAGACACTAAGAAAGACACTCCAGGGGCTCCTTCTTGCGTTTGGACATGGGTGTTAACCTCAGTGATGAGCAGATTGTGGGGCAATGCTTCCCAGGCTTTGAGTTATGACAGTGCAGTAAACAAAGGAATGCTAACTTTTTTATTCTGCCTAATCATAATGTAAAACTCAACATAAATTGGAAATCTACAAACACCATCATTTGATAAAAGAAGGAATGTTTTAACATCCCAACAGGAAGAAGGGATAAACTCTCAGAACAAGAGGAAGTTCCTCGAATTGAATACTGCAGCTATATTAAAGAGTTGCTGCTTTGTCCTTAGTTCTTACATCACCCTAGACTGGAGGAAACATCGCAAACCAGCACCCATCTGCAATCAGGAATGTGGGTGCTATGAGTAGCCACTGGAGTTAGCTGGAGAATTAGGTTTGAGACCCAGCTTGAATGGAGAAGGTATTCTTGGGCAAGGACAGGGAGGGGTGAGGGGGTAAAATTAGGGGGATAGGAGTTGCCCTTAGAATCAGCCACTCTGCTCTCTGGTGGCACTCTCTATGCTGTAATGCTACACTAACTTGCCTGTTTAATTATCCGTCTCTTCCACTGGGCTTTGAGTTCCTTGAGAGCAGTAACTGTGCCTTGTTGCCCTGAGTCACAGAGCTAATTAGATGTGGGGGAGGGCTGGTGGCGTAGCAAGGGGGCATTCAAAGGAACAATGGCAAAGCACCAGGGACACACAGTGCTGCCTCATGGACCCAAACAATCTGAGGATTAGAAGGCACATTTTCTGTTACCCAATCATGTGTGCCATTTCTGGCTGGTATAGTAGAGGGGGCTCTACCTCCATCCTACGTGATGGGGGTCAGGACTGCTGCTTCCCCAGGGAGGTGCCAGGGGACTGCTAAGCAAAGGCCCATCTCCTCTCCCATTGTCCCTGTGGCTGTCTGAACAGGAGCAAGGTTGGGTGGAGAGCAGCCAGCCTCCTGCCTGCTTGCTGCTTCGTGCCCCTGGATTTCCCATTGCCCAGTCCCAGAAGAGCACTCAGTCCCAAGGTTTTCAACTTTCCCAGGCCCTTGTTCCTTATAGTCACTTTTAGGAATTAACTCAAAGAAAAGGTCAGCCACATTGTTACAAGCAGCCCCCAGGGTTGAGCTCCACAGCAACCACCCCTTCCCTGCAGAGAAAGTCCAGCCCACAGGAAAATGGATGTTGCTTTCTTTCAAGACTCATGTTGGGTGGTTTTTTAGCCAGCTTGATTCCTGGCAGCATGTTGAAGCCCAATACACAGAGCCAGCCTCAGCTAAAGTTCCCACCAGCCCCATGGGGCACTGGGTGAATGCCAAATGCAAAGCTCACTAAGTGCACTGAGGTGGTGGGGGGGAGGGGGAGACATGCAGCGCTCCTGTCCCCTGCTGCTTGAGAGCCCAGGAGCAATGATGGGGTGTTTTCATTAGCGCTGGCTCAGCATGACAACTAGGAGCCCCATTATATATCTGAAATGCTGCTCATGGCTGGAGAACCGGGCTCCACCTTGGTGGGATTAGCAAGGCTGTGGGTTCTGGGAAGTGAATGGTCAAGATGGGCTTCCCATTGCAAATATCCTGCCATTTTCCTCGTATGACCTATTAGGGGGAATTTGCCTTGGGGTACAACTTGTTATTCAAAGTCTCGTTGGAATTGCTCTTGGTCTAGCATATTGTTTACTGCATGGCCTCTCTGTTCCTGTCTCAACATCCAATCCTCCATGACTCTCCCACCAAACAGGGGTTTTTAAATCCTGAATTCAGGTGAAGACAGTTGTGTGCCTTGAAGTATCAACCCTGCTGCTTACCTTCCTACCATGATTTCTCCCTTCAGGAGTCACTGGCTAAAACACTGATGTCCCTGAGAGGTCCCACTAAGCCCTGTGGCCAGCAAGCAATAGGTGGGGATTGGCTAATAGATAGCTGAAAGCAAGGCAAGAGTGAGCCCCAGGTTGGGAAGAAGAGATGGAGAGAGAATTGATATGCCTCCAGAGGTCAAGGGAGCAGGGTCCCCCACGGGGAAGGTGGGAAAGAATTAAAGATGCTGACATCACCATTCTTTCAGGAGCCTGGGACTGATCATTTCCTTTCACCACTCTCTGCAGGCTTAGGCTTCCCATCACCTCCCAGAGCTTCTGGCTTTGTCTGGAAAAAATGCTAACCAGCTCTTTACAGGAGCTGTCACTAATGGCCTGGCCAGAGAGCTTACAAAAGACCCTGTGTGCAGTGCAAAAGGAACATGGTGCTCCTGAGAGGAGGCCGAGTGGGTGGGAAGGGGGCAGCCTTGGGAGCACTCATGGGCAGCCAAGGAAGATGACGAGCCCATCCCCAATTCCTCAGCTCCCTGCTCCCCGCCCAGCCTGCCTTGCTTAGAATATTTCACCACCAGAGATGACCACCGCAGGTGGGTTAATCATCCAGGCTGGACATGTAGGAACTTGGGGGGAAAGGACACAGACTAGAACTTGTTTTCTGTCCCCAATCCCTGGGAAGAGGCTCAGGGACTTTCTCTGAAAGGAGTGACCCCAGGAGATGGAAGATGCTGGGATCCAGCTGGGGGAGTAGGAAGGAGGTCCTAGAGAATGGAGATTCTAAGAGACAGAATCAGCCAGTTCTTCCTGTTGCCTTTCTTGAGTTTGGGCCCAGCCTCTCCCCATCAGCAGAGACAGCTGGGGAAGAAGAGCACTGGACAGGGAGTCAGGAGGCCCTCATTTAATCTGGCTCTACCTTGCTATGAGTCAAGAGAACCATAAACACCAGAGACAGGCAACTCAGTCTTAGGAATCTTTCCATCCACCTGCTCACTTTATACTCACAGACTCTGGGTCCCAGAGGGTTGCAGGCACTTGGCCAGGGTGGCATGTACCAAGCAGCTACTGTGTCCTGGTCAAGGTGGCGTGTTAGGTGCTCACGTGCTGTTGGTTCATCAGAGAGGCCTTTCTTGACTAGCTCCCCATCTAAATTGGGTCCTTTATTCTTGTTCTCATCACAGATGGGAATGACCCATTTATTTGTGCGATTATTTTTTTTTTTTTTTAATGCCTTTCGCCTTGCCCCATTCTGCGGTAACTTCCACGGGACAGGGAACTTTCTCTGCCTCATTCTCCACTGCATCCCAGTGATTCACGCACAGCAGGCACATACCAATATTTACTGAATGCAGAATCTCTATTCTCAAAGTAACCCCATGAGAGAAGTATAACACCCATTTTACAGACAAGAAAAGTGTGGTTCAGACCATTTAAATAACAAATGGGAAAGCCAAATGCAGCAGTGGACCTGGATGAGCCTGTCCCCAGGCTGCACTCTTTTCTAACAAAGATTATCAGACTTGGCGGATTCCCTTAAGCTGGGGGCCTTGGTTTAGGCTTTTCCAGCTGTGATGTTCTAGAACCAAATGCCCCAAGACCACTCCCTGAGAGAGCAGAAGAGGCTAGGGGTCACTCCAGACTGGAGGCAGCTTAGAGCCTGAGTGCCCAGGCAGGCGCTCCATCTTGCCAGGCCACATTCTAGGTCAAGGGACCAGGCAGGGAAGATGAGGCTGAGGACCACACAGCAGTGAGGGGCCCCACTCAGCAACTGCGGAGGCAAACAGGAACATCTGCCTGACAGGAGTGTTAGAGGGGACCAATCACCAGGAGGCAGTGAGCCCAAAGCTAAGGGTCTGCAAAAGCCTCTGGCAAGTGGGAAGGGCACAGGCTTTGAGGCTGGACACGTCGGAAATTGTCTCCGCTCTTGCACTTACCAGCTTGGGCAGGTTAGTTACATTCTCTTAGCCTCAGTTTGCTCCTCTGAAACATAGGATGGTGCTGACCCCCTTACCTCACAAGGAGGATAAGTGAGATATGCCAGGGAAAGCACTTAGCACAGCGCCTGATCTACGGCGAACATCTAGCTGATGTCAGTCTCCTTAAACACTTCCTTCCAGGCTGGACCAAATTCCCGATTTGGAGCCCCTCTCTGTCTTTAGATGGGAGTCCATCAGTGGTTAAACCTGGCTACAAAGGTAAGGCAAGAGGCTGACAGGGAAAGCAGGTCTTTATAGAGAGGACAGAGCTCAGAACCCAAACATCTCAGGTCCGGGTCCATGCCCGCTTACCACTGTATCCTCAAAGCCTCGCCCACAACCTGCACTGCGGTTCATGTGCAGCAGCCTCAGCTGAGTGGACAGGTCCAACAGAGCAGGTGGGAGAGCTAGCTGCCACATTCCAACCATTAGCTTGATATTCATTTGGTTTTGATCAACACATTGAGCACCAGAGTGGCACCCCACGTGGCATGGGAGAGAAAGCGTGGACTCTGAAGTCCACCATCTAGTGTGTTAACTTGTTTCTTAACCTACAGTTTCCTCCTCTGCTAAATGGGTTGACACTCATAGGCTTGTTGTGAGGATTAAGTTAAGAAGGTAAAGCACTTAGAACAGTGCTGGGCAGGTGGCAGGCACTCCATCACAACGTCAGCCGTTATTACCAGTAAGAGTCTACTGGGTGTCAGAGACCGCAAGGCTCTGGGGGCCTGGCTGGGAGCAAGGTCCTCGCCTTAAGAGAGCTGCTGGTCAAGTGGATGCAATGAATGAGGAAATCAGTAATCATAAAACAATATGCTTAGTGGTCCGGTAAGGTGAAGTCCAGGGGACCTCACCTAGTACCAGAGGAACTTTACCCAGAAACCTGACTAATCTGTTCACTTGGCCAGATGGGGGGCAGGGCAGGGTGGAGAGTGCTCCAGGCAGAGAGGATAAGAAGCAATAAGGTCGACCACGGGACGTGCAAAGGACGAGTGTCTATGTGGCAGGACAGAGATGGAGAATGGCGAGGGAGGAGGCCAGAGAGGCGAGCAGGACCCAGACCATCCAGAGGATGGTAAAGGGAGGAAATGCTCCTGAAAGAACACGGAAGAATCAGATCCAGGCGGTCTAACTCCCTGCTCTGGGCTTGTCCGGCACATCTTGGCATTTCCCTTAAAATTACGAGGGGGAAGCAGGATTCATTTTGAGGAACTTCTCAGACCAATTATTCTGAAGAGTCTCAGGAGATCCAATGGGGCCTCAGCAGAGAAAACTCCCCAGGGAACCACAAAATAGAGAAAAAAGCATCCTCCATCCTGTGGAATGTTTGTGGGACAAAGCCATGATACCATCCCGCTGCGGCTAACAAAGCAAGGAGGCCCCAGATGCAAACACTTGAGAATTCAGACAACACAGATGGAAACATTTGGGAATTAAGATAACCACCAAGACTAGAAAAAGGAAATACAGTTGCCTCGGTTCTTTCTTAATCTAAAATGCATAGGTGAAAAAAAAAATCAGTTTTAATACCACTTTACCATAAACGCATTCTTTCCACTTAGTGCCAAAATAAAATGTTTTCCTTGTTTTTGCATCAGCTCCTCCCCACTTCATCCACACCAAACAACTAGAGAAGATAGAGGCTATTCTTTTATCCTCATTCCTGCTAGCACCACAAGGAGCCCAGCCTTTATCCATAGTGAGGCTGTCCTTTGACATTATAAAGCCCAACCAGAGCTCGGAAACACTGCTGAATTGGGAATATGATGGGGATGAGAACGGACAATGCACATCAAACACAGACCTAAGACAGAGTGGGAGACAAATTCTCATAAGTGAGGTGCTAGGCCCCACTCTTCTTTCTCTATAGCCAACATCACAAGGATGGGTGTCATCAAGCAGAGCATTTGCAAATCAGATTTAATGATATTTCAAGCTAAAGCAATTGGACTTCACATAAAATATCCAAAACCGTCTCAGGGCTGTGGAGTTCTGAGCCAGGGGGAAGATTAACAAGGAGGCCAAGAGAGTAGCTAGACCTCAGGAAGGATTTCATGGGGAGCAAAAGCGTGCAGACGTGAAAGTTTCATCAGGATCATGCTCACACTTCTCTCCGCCGCAAACAACTCACACCTTGGCTTTGCCTTCTCATAGAATCACAAGATTCTGAGTTCTGTTTCCTTCCACTTCCTTACTCTACCTTCTCTGCCTCTTCTGTTTTTCACTTTTGCTGCCCCATCACCCCACCCAAACCCCAATTCTAATGTTATGACATCCTAAGAAATTAGACACACACACACACGTACAGAATAATTAATACCTGTGTCCTTGAGTCTGTTGTTTGAGGAATTATTTCCAACCAGTTGATTAGCAAAGCTGATCAGGACTCTGGAGAAGACAGCCCCAGCCTGTGTGTGGGGTGAATAAAAAGCTCCTCAGGGTGCCCGTTTCTATGGCCAGAGACTGAAGGACTTTGGGTGCCCGATAGTAACCTCAGAAACAGTCCCCAGGCAGCAGCACAGTTTTGAAACACCACAGGAGGAAGCCTCTTTAATCAAATAATAACCAGCCAGAGATAAGGCCTGCAGGGCCGAGTTCGGCCAGCCAATCACGTGCTTCCTTCCGATCTCAAGGACAAACAGACCCAGGTTTCTGGAGTGAGTTTCAGGGCTTGTTATAATTTAATGATGCTGCCGGTGGTGCCTTCTTGGCTTTGCCTGGTGGGGATTTTCTGACTAGGGAGTGAAGCTCTGAGCTCAGGAATCTCACTCTCAGTGGAGGCACCTGGCCCAGAGCCTGCAGCTGAGTATCCTGAGTGATCACATAGGGTATCCAGCTCTCAGCCTGGATGCTTCCACATTACCAAGAGGTTCTCCCTGCTGCTGGGAAGCCAGGCTTGAGTGGAGCTGAGCAGGGCTGGGTCACCAACGGGTGAGCATATTTGACACCAGATGTGCAACTCATTGACTGTGACCCTGAAGAGGTCGTGGAGACCCTAGTGACTTGCTCTCATGTGTTGGAGATGCTTTACACGCATTCCCTGTGGGTCCTTAATTGGCAGTGACTGAGTTTCTCTGTGTTTTTCATCCCTCCCAGCTGCCCTCCCCTTGCAAGGCTATCAGTGCTCTGTTAGGCCACAGAGGTATCATGAAGCGGGGTGGGGGGTTCTGGGGGCTAAGCAGGCCCGGGAGTGAATAATGGCCCTACATCTTTCTAGACCTATGACTTTGAACATGCCACTCAGCCCCTTCCTCACCAAGTTGCTGCAAGTATTAAATGGAAAAACTCTGCCAGGTCCCTACAAGGTTCTTATGGGCCCTGAGGAGATGTAAACAAACCCTCAAATGGTGTTAATATATTAGAGCTCAATATTTAAAGGAACTTGAGGGGAACCCCTTCATTATGTGAATAACACTTGGCCATCAGCAGAATCAACTTTGGGACATTTTATCATCCCAAAAAGAAACCCCTTCCCATTAGCAGTCATTCCCCCTTACCCCTACCCTAACCTCCCCCAACAACCATCCATCCATTCAACAAATAGTTATTTTTCATCTGCTGTATTAGAGAGTGCATTAATCACTGGAAGACACCAAGGTGAGTTTCCTGCCCTCGTGAAATGATGTTGTAGCACAGGAAACAGTTTATTAAAGAGGTCCTTGGTAGAGTGGAGTCAATGGCAGGGGCCAGTGCAGGGGGCTTGTCACAGAGGGTTTGGTCCAGTCCAAAGGGAACAAGAGAAAACCAGCACACGTGGACGGAAGTGGACTCAGGTCAGAGGGCCAAGTGTAGCCAAAGCTTTTGCAAGGGAACTCCCTGAAGGGCTCCTGCTAGGGGCAAAAAGAGGAAAGCAAAGTTATATCTCCACTCCACTCCTTTTTAAAAATATGTAACAGCCTCATTAAGATATAATTCACATATCATACAGTTCACCCATTTAAGTGTATAATTCAATGATTTCTAGTACATAGTCACACAGTTATTCAACCATTAGTGAAATCAATTTTAAAACATTTCATCACCCCAAAAAGAAATCCCTTCCCATGAGCTGTCGTCCTGCATCCTTCTCCCCATCCCCACCTCTGCCGGCCCCTGGCAACCACCAATCTACTTTGTGTCTCCCATGGACTTGCCTTTTCTGGACATTTCGTATAAATGGCATCCTATACTATGCAGCCTTTGTGACTGACTTCTTTAACTTAGCACAATGCTTCCAGGGGTCACTTCATTCCCCTTTGTGGCTGAATAATATTCCACTGTAAGAATGTACCACAATTTGTTTACCCATTCATCCATTGATGGACGTTTGGACTGTTTCCACATCTTTGTTGTTACAAATAAAGCTGCTATGGACATTCATGTACAAATCTCCACTCCCTTTTTTCCACAAATTCACAGCCCTATGGCAGGGAAACAAAGCAGGTGAGAGAACTGGCTTTTGAAGAGCTTCTCTCTAGCCAGAAGTTAGACTCTCATGGCAGTGGCTGAGGCTGGTATTTGCACAGATTTTCACGATGCATAGAGCACCATCACCCATTCCCTCTCATCACAATCCTCCCCACAGCCCTAGGCGTGAGGGAGGTATTATTTTTACTGCCATTTTAAAGATGAGATCATAAAGAATACGAAAGTTTGAGTAACTCGCCAAAAATCACCCAGCCAAGAATTGAAGCCAGAATTAAGTCCTATGTTCTTTCTACTTCAGCTGTGCACACACAAAACAGGTCTTTATTCTTCTCGTACATGCTCAGTCTTGGCTTCTAGGATGTGTAGTTGAAGGAGAAAAAAGAAGAAAGAAGTAAAAAAGAGCTCCATCATTATTTGTGAAGAAAACGGCAATTAGGCCATCTAATAATTGTCATTATCTGGATTTTGAAAATTTGTACAGAAGGCTTAGAAAGATTAAGTATCTTATCTAAAGGCACGGAGCAAGTAAACCAGCCATTGACAACATAAGGGCAGATACGTGATTCCCAAACTCAGACCAGATCAGCTTGCTTTCTTCCTAACCTTTAACTGAGGGCAGCAGAGGTCTTGATTGTTCAGGTGGGAGGAAAGGAAGCTTTGGAGGGGGCTCTGCAGGTAAGGGTAGGCCAGGGCAAGGAAGATGCCATCCATAGCCGGAGGGCGTGCAAGGGGATTAGGGAATGTGAAAGTCTGAAGATGCAGAGAAAAGATGGCTCTGAAGAGAACAAGGGAAGGAGAGAAAACAGAGAACGTGGGGAGAGTCAGGTCAAAAGGCTGGCCAAGTTCCCAGTTTGTCCCATGGCCAGGAATGTTTCATCCAGACCCTTGAGGTCACTTGATAAACAATACGAACAGATGTTCTGGGTGGAATGGTGTGGGAAAAACATCAACTGGGGATAGAAAGTGTGGTGACAGAGCTAGAGAGTCCACCCAGCTTCTCATCACCTGTTCAGCCCCAACCTAAGAGCACAGCCCTGGTGGAGCACCACCTGAGGGAGAGCCTCCTGGAAGCAGGAAGGCAAAGCTCTCCATGGGGAGGGATGAGGCCAAGCAGGCCAGGTGAGCACAGGTGATGGGCATGGCCACAGCTCACCTCTGAGGTGGAGATTCCAACACAAAGTGCTTCTCACCTGGGAGTAGGGATCACAGAATGGGCAGCAGGGATGTGGGAGTACTGGAGGTCTGGAACCAGCCAGGCATCTCGTGGTTCCTGGATCTTGACTCATTGCACCAAGATCACGCCATCTTCATTTGGTTCCCATTGGACCCATTACTTGCAAAATCCAGCACATACCAGGCAAATCACTGTGAGAAAGTCAGTTGGAAAAGCTCTCTAAGGGTAGGAAGCCATCCCAAGCTAATTCCAGGCCCCTCAGATCTCTGAGCCATCTACAAGATCCACTTCTGGAAAATGAAAGGGTATCTTTAGGTCTGCTCCCACTTCAGAGCACCAGGGAGTATTGGCCTCAGGATACAGAACACGGCAAGCACCTATCATAGGTTCAGCTTGATGAAAAGAAACAACATTTATTGGCACCAACCACAGGCTGGGTCCTGGGTAGATGCGCTCCCTGTCACATTTTCTCTTCGCAAAAACCCTATAGGGTAGAAATATTTATAGCTATTCAGAGAATGAGAGAGTAGAGCTCAGAGAGGTTAACTAACTTGCTTGAGGTCACACAATTAATACGGGGTGGAGCAGGGATTTGAGTCTAAGGCCATCTGACTCTAAAACTTGCTATTATTTCATGTTTCTACTCATAACAGAGTGCTTAGATTCATTTTCTCTCTCACAAACTGCCACTTATTCACACTGATTTTTCTACCACTCCCCAAATCATCCATGTTGATGATTTTGTTGATGATTTTCCCAAAAATGCCTGCATTGTTGATATATCACATATCTGCATCTGGATCCATATTGATACCTATCTGTGTTAATACATGTCTGAGTACACATATTCATGTGTATGGCTCCTTGCTTTTAGCTCTGTGTGTTCTGTTGACTTCAGAGAAGGGTACAAGTGGCTTTAGTTTTAATTTCCTCAAGGCTGTGTAAAAGTCTGTCCTTAGACAGTTGGTTGATGGCAGTCTTCCTGTGTATGTCAGCTCCTGAGTAGAGAAATCAGCTCCTGTGACCAGAACAATTTCCCTACTGCAGGCATCTTCTGGATACCTGGTCCTGGGATGGATCGTTCATCCCAGAGAAAATCTGTACAAACTTTCATTAACGGAGGTCCCCACTGATGGGTACCATTGATGTCTATGTCATGACCAAACAAAAACCCTCTTTCACTTGGGCTTGATCTCCACTCCCAATGACAGCATACACCACACACACACACACATACACACACACACACACACGCTTGTCAATTGAATGGGGAGACTATCCAATATATCACAAATTCAAAGCATGTTAGGTAACGTAAACGAGAAAAATGTGTTAGGTGTAATTAATAGGGAGTAGTGGGGACAGAGGTCAAATGGAGGGTGCATATTCCACCTAAGGACATCTACCACCTCCAGCCAAATATTGGCATGGGAAAATGTAGGCTCAGCATTGTCAGATCTTTTTATCTTCAAGAGAGGCTGGAAATATGGATTTTAATGTGAATCTCCACAATTTTTAAAAATTTGGCAACTTTTCAAAGAAATTAAATACTGCTCAGGTCAAAAGATCCACAGAGATTTGCAAGATAAATTCAGTCCACGGGCTGCCAGGTTTTGCCCCCTAATGTAGACAAAATACGCATTTACATACATGTACTTACTAACTCTTTCACCGTGACCAAAGGTCCTAAATAAGTAGACTGTAAGAGCCAGTCCTGCAAGTGGCTTATGGGATTCTCTCTCTTGTTCCGCTAGTCTAGAGTCATGAAAGTGTGGTCACAGGACCCCTGCATCAGAAGTCTCCAGGTACTTAATAAACACACAGATTTCCAGGCACTACCCTGGAAGCCCTAAGGATAGAACCCAGGAATCTGCATTTTAACGAGATCTGCAAGTTATTCTGAGATGTATGGTAAACAGCTCACTGGTTCCTCCTTAGAAAGAGC